GAATTCAGGTGGTGGTGGTGGGAAATCAACTGTGCGTGGTTCACATGGGCCTAAATCTGATAAAGTGCAATTGGTAGTGTTTGTGCCATGAGCAGTCTTACACACACACACATATTTACTTGGCCATGCTTTTCAGACATTGTCAATGAGTTTGAGGTCATAATACATTGAATAGGTTTTACTTCCTCATGTCATGGTCTTTCAGCCAATTGTTAGTCATCTTTTCATTAATAAGCACAAATTGTGAAAGTTGGATGTCAAAGGAAATGTGTAACATCTTCATATTCTACCCAGTGATTTCTCACTGTCAAACTGCTTTAGGAACCTGAAGAATGAATTAGGACTTCTTACGTAATAATGCAAACACTTGGGCCAATACCTAAACCTTCATGGACTAAAACTTTGTATATTTGACAGCACACCTAATATCATTGTTAGTAATTCTTAATCTAACAGTCATTTCTTGCAGATTGATCACAGGAGAGCATATAATTGTGAAATTATGCTTTCAAAGGTGAAGATCCCCTTGCCTGAGTTAATGGTACGTTAAGTTCTGTTCACAGCTTGCTAGTATTTGCTAGTATAATTATTGTTATCATCTTTACTGCTGGTTAATGTTTACTAAATCCATGACTTAAAGTTTGCTATGAATTAGCAAGGAAATCGCAAGGCTTTTCAACATCCAGTTTGTTTATAAGATCCAATGTTTGTTTTGAAGGGCTTAAGATTTTGGGTGAAAACAGCACTAGTGATTGTGTTGGTCATTGGAAAGTTGTATTCTTTCTGTGCTGGATTGGTAGGAGATTAGAGGACCAAGCAGTCCGGTAACCTTAAAAGTTACATAACAAAAGGTTGCTGCTAAACTTAGTGCTAGAGTTTTCCAGAAGTTCTATTAATGAAAAGCAAGTTGGCAAACATAGCTTCAACTAAGACAGAGAGCAGAATACCTTTCATTCTAAATCTGAGTTATTCAAAGTAGGAATCCTACTCAAATCAGGAACAATTATTATTAAATGCAAGGAATAAAGCTGAATAAGAATGTGATTGGTAGAATTTACAATGAGAGTTCCTTGCAACATTGAGACTGAGTGAACCTAATCAGTGACTGCATAACTGGCCATCGTGTAGATCTTTGGACTTCCTAGTATGTGTGAATGGCAGAACCAAATGCTCCTACTTAGAAATGACAGGCTTCGGTGATTGTAAAGAAAGAATTTAAATTAGGTTTGCTTAATGCTCAGAAATGCAATCTTCAGCACATCCTTGCTGATTGAATGCAACTATATACTTGGCTGAATCTTGAAAATGTGGAGTTGCATTCATTTAACTCAAATATGAGATTTCATGCTAAGTGCAATATTCGATGTATTGTTATCAATGCTAAATTTGATTTAGCAGTTAACCACTTTAACCAAAAAACAGGAAAAAAAAAAAAAGGCAAGTAGAGAAGATTCAAGCTGCCAAATTGGTAAACAATTTGCTTCTCTTTTTTGTGACTTCTAGGGAATTTTCTTTGGCTTGTTATCCTTATGCCATTCAATGAAATATTGACAGAGTTCAGTTCTTGCCCTTGAGGAATCGGCACTAGATGTTGATCAAGTTGAAAACATAATAAAATTCTGTCCAACAAAAGAGGAGCTGGAGCTTCTTAAGGTAAAGTAAACCAAAGCATCTGGTACTCAAAGATAGAAAGTGTTATGTCTTCCCATTATCTTACAAGTAGATTTATAATTTTCTTTTCAGGGCTATACTGGGGATAAGGAAAAGTTAGGAAAATGCGAGCAGGTTTGTGGGATTTACGTTTGCTTAATTATTTTATTGACTTTTGATCATTGTTGGTTAATATCCCTATCTACTAAGAATTAATGTGTTTCATGAACCTTTATGACAGTTCTTTTTAGAGCTAATGCAAGTTCCAAGAGTCGAATCCAAGCTAAGAGTTTTCTCATTTAAGATTCGGTTCTGCTCCCAGGTTACAGATTTTCTTTACCTACCCACTTGATAAGTGTTTCATGCTTTTCTTCATTACTAATCAGGTTGTGAATTGCTATTTAGGTCTCTGACCTCAAATGTAGCTTAAATGTTGTAAACTCTGCAGCAGAGGACGTAAGTTATACTTTTCCGCTTTGATTCTTCTTTTTGGAAACGGTCTTGATATTCCAAGAATTGCCATCAATTATATCAAAACTTCCTTTCTCATCAGATAAGAAACTCTGTCAAACTGAAGAGAGTCATGCAGACGATTCTCTCATTAGTAAATGCTTTAAACCAAGGAACTGCTCGGGGTGAGTGAGAATTTTGAGTCTTCTGATATTCAAACTTGGCCAACTGATCAGACATTCTCATATGAATATTCTCTACTAGATGGCATAAAGTTTGATGGTGAATGCTAGATTTATTGTGGCAGGGGAAGTTCTTTGGCTCCATAGTTAGGGAATTAAATATTTGATTAAATTGCTTGAAGTGCAAGTGGGAAGTTATGACTCTGAAAACATTAAGAAGACACTCTTCCATACTAATATTTGGAAACTTCTTCCAAATTCCATTAATTTTTTTTTTTTTTTTGTAACTATAGTTGATTCTTTTCAGAGCTAATGCAAGTTCCAAGAGTCGATTCTTTCATGAGCATCAAAGCCTTTGTGTTTTTTATGGTACTCTCAATTTCATTATTTGAATTAAATTTTGAATTTTTGATTCAGGGTCTGCAATTGGGTTCAAGTTGGATAACCTTCTTAAGCTCACTGAGACTCATGCACGGAACAAGAAGACGACTCTCATGAATTACCTTTGTAAGGTACTAGTAGGACATGATCATCTGAGTTTCTTTTGACCATTATTGATGTGAAATTTCGAAGGAGTACATAATCAATTTTAGTTAACGTTATGTCTTGAATCATATTTCCTTCATGTGGCTATTCTCTAGAAAAGTTTACAAGACATTGTAAGTTGGTTATGTTGAATCTGCTTTATAATCTGTAGATGCTTGCTGATAAAATTCCAGACCTTCTAGATTTTTCAAGAGACCTTCGCAATTTGGAACCTGCATCAACGGTATGTCGTTTATGCTTGTTGACAATAATAAATAAAATAAGAAAATTCAGGTAAGACCTCAACATTGTTGTTATTTTGTCATTCCCGTCTAGGTGCAACTGAAATTTTTAGCAGAAGAAATGCAAGCCATAAGCAAGGGATTGGAGAAAGTTGTCTTGGAACTTGCCAACTCCGAAACTGATGATCCTATTTCAAAGAAATTTCATAAGGTATGTTGCAAATAAAATGAAGTGTTATGTCTGTAATACCTGTCCTCTTACATCTTATTTACTTCATTTTTTGCTTGATCTTTCCTTTTGCAATTTCTTATTCAGATTTTGAAGGAGTTTTTATGTTGTGCTGAAGGTGAAGTAAGGTCTTTGGCTTCACTCTACTCTGCTGTGGTAGGTCTCAAAAAGAGTATCATCCATGCATTAAATAGCATTCTTTGGATTAAACTGTTGTTCACCTGGAAATCAATTTACAGGGTAGAAACGTGGATGCAATGATCCTTTACTTCGGAGAAGATCCAGCTCGTTGTCCCTTTGAACAAGGTACCTCACTGCAATCCTTGAGGTGGTGACATTTTCTTCAGTCTACTTAGCTTACTAAATTACGCTACTCTTCTTTTCTAAATTGCTGGGGTTGCAGTTGTTTCAACTCTGTCAAACTTTGTGAGGATGTTTAACAATGCTAGTGAAGAGAACTGCAAGCAGCGTGTGCTCGAAATGAAGAAGCTGGCAGAAGCTGAGAAGGCAAAGACAAACACTGCACAGAAGGAATCTGAACAACTCTTGAAAACTCCACTGATCCAGACTAGACAATGTTAAATAATTAAGGGCTCCATCATGAACTACTCCCTCTTCTCCGTGGCAGAACATTTGTACATCCTCAGTCGGACACCTGGAAGTTGCAACAATTTTGGGGAACTGAAAAAAATTCCTCAAGTGTTGGAAGGAGAATGCATGGTTTGGCATTACATCCAATGTTTGAATTGGCTTCCAACACTGGTCCTGCACAACCATCTTCATCATTTCTATGGCTTCCATTCCATGTTTATGTGCATTATGGAACATAGAGATTATGAGAATCTCATCTTCTTCAATAGGCAAGGCAACTGTAAATTATCCCCTCTTTGTAAATAATTTTGAAGATAAGGAGTCTAAGAAAGATTATTATTTTACAGTTTAGAATAATTTATATTGTAAAATATTTTTTAAATGAAAAATAATGAATATATAAATTTTCTTCACACTTAGGTCTGATTTCCTCCATCTTTCTGTTTAATCAAAGGTGGGAACAAGGGTGTTTCATCATAAAATATGAATTGAATACCATATCTTAAAAAAAGCGAAGAATCTAAACTAATTACTCTAATTAATATATCAATCACCATCGAATTACGCGAGTTGACACCGGTGGGTCAACCGTCACCAATTTTTCATCAAAAATTATGTTTTTTTTTATTATTTTGTTTACACAATAAAATATGATTATCTCATATCTTTTATTTTATTTCTTTTATATATCATGCAATTTAAATTTAAAATATCTTATTTTCAACAACAAAATATTATCATTAAATTATTTAAATAGTTAAAATTAAAAATTATGATTTAGTTGAGACAATAATATAATTGTATTCATTTCACTTCTATGAGTTCTACCTATATTAAAAAAGGAGCAGTTATGTTCTGAAATAATGTATATTTTTAATTGAACTAAAAATATACTAGTCAACTTATTCCTTACCAGACAACTTTAAAAAGACCATATCTCTGCATGATAGATTTTAAAATATATATTTTATAATCTGAATTATATCAAATTACATAATAAAAATTAGTAAATAGATTGAATTTTATAATATTATGGATTTTTTATTTAATAATTTTTATATTATAATTTAATATAATTTAAATTGTACATAAATACTTATTAACTTTCTCAATTATAAGTTGTAAAATAAAAAATAATAAATTTTTATCTTACTTGTATATCATGATATTTCATTTTAAAATTCCTTAGTT